CTTATTCAAAGGCAGTGTCTTGTGTGATTGAGAGCACTTATGCCAGAACCAGAAAGAATTTTAACTGTGGCTCTGGCTTTGCTAGCTCCTTTTGTATTTTTTGGAAAATTCCTTTCTGTGGCTTAGTTTTCTCTATCTATAAAATATGAATAAATAGTAGTTCCTCACACTTGGTTGTGAGAGTTCAGAGAGTTGGTGGAGGGATATACTGTCAGAACAGTGCTTGCAATCTAATTAGTGCTCATTAAGCTCAGCTGCTAATATTATGGCCATTATTATGAAGAAGATAAAGGACCTCCTTGTGTAGCTGCATTCAACTTGTTTTTGCAGAAATCTCTGTATCTGAAATTTGACCATTAATTATTTCTTTGGTTTAAGAAAACATGTGTACCCACCAAGATTAACACACTATTGATACCAAAACACAAACTAATTATTAGGATAATTGCCAAAAGAAAGCAAGGAAAAGATGTGGAACAGAGAGGAAAAAAATTTATGAAAGTAAGACATTGATGAGTGGAGAAGACAAAACCATGTAGGGTTTATTGCTGCAGTAGAGATTGTGGTCATCCTAAGAGTAATACAAGGTCCTGCATTTCCGATTAGAAATGACAGAAGGTAACTTTAAAGGAAGACACTTAGGTTTTTCAAAGGCTGTTCTTGATCTTACATTATATCTTTTGGATGCTATGGTATAAACATGGAAAAAAAGATTTCCAAGAAAAAATACATATAGCAATTATAAGCATACACAAACTGCCCTGGTTCAAACCTGAATCTTCCACTTAATGGGTAGTGTGACCCAGAACAAATGCCTCAAGTTCCCTTATCTGTAAAATGAGTAAAATGATAGAATTATATGGGGATACTGAGAGAATTACATCAGATTATCCTAACAGCAAAAGCTTAGTGTTAACCTCTATGATATTATTGTAGTTAGCAGTTATTATAGCTGCTTTGTTTTAATTACAGTTGTATGTCACTTAATGATGAGGATACATTCTGAGAAATGTCGTTAAGTGATTTTGTCATTGTGCAAACTTCATAGAATATACTTATGTAAACTAAGATAATGTCAATTATATAGTGTTGTGGGACCACTGAAATGTTGTTATGAAGCAAAAACTATAATTTCTCTGGTTAATGTATTTGATTTCTTCCTTTCCATAGTTCTCACATAATTTTGCTTACTCCATGCATGCCTTTGGCTGAATCTAAGTTTAAAATTTCCAAATCCAAATCCTTAATTTATTAGTCTTAGTATTCTACCATTTATCCCAATTATATCAAGACATTCCCAGTAAATAGTTTCTTAGTGAAATCAACTTGAATGCAAATTTTTAATTGTCTTGAATCTAATTGAAATTCTAGCACAAGAACTTAAACATATCACTTAAATTCCTTATATTTTAATATTTACAAAACTTAAAATATTTCTAACCTTAAATCTTATTTGCAGCTTACATCTAGCATTTGAGAATTGCCCCTCTTGAAAGTTCTTAAAATTCAGATTCTTTGAAAAGTTGAAGTGATGATTAACCTAATCAGATTCCATTTGACCCTAACAGTTGTAAATAAATGTCTCAGGCTAGGGTGTGGCTCAGTGGGAGAGCATTTGCCTAACATATGTGAGACCCTTTGTTCAATCTCTAATACTGTCCCAAAATACAGTATCTCCTGTCAGTTTCTTGATCTTCATGAATGCTACAGTTTTAAAGACTACTGAGTAGTCCTAAAATTGTTCACTAAGCAGATTTATTATTATTATTATTATTATTATTATTATTAGTGCCATTTTAAATAAATGCAAAAGTATTGGTAATAGGGACAAAATAACTTAATTAACTGAGATGGCCATAGCTACAGATTTAAGAAAATTTGATGTAAGCTGAGTTCTCAATTATACATTTATAAACATGTATAAGGAAAATAGTTCTCTCTTCTGTCATCTCCTATTCTTAGAAAAGTTTCTGAAATCCATTTACTTTATGCTGAGTCTATTAATTCCTTAAAATGTTATCCCTCTATGAAGATAGTTTAACATCACAGTTATAGTTTAACTCTGTCACCAAGTATTAAGCTCAAGGAAGCTCAGAGTGTGGAATTTCATCTACATTCAGTGGACAATGAATATATTCTTTGGACAGAGGAGTCTTTTAAGCAGCCTTAAAGCTACATTAGTCAGGCATCTTCCTCAAAGGCTAGCTCAGTTTATGTCATCCCAAGAATGCTATTATATAAACAATACACTTAAAACTCTATAGAACATAAATGGCAGATGTATTTTAGCTCACTTGAGAATGCTTTGAAAAGTTGAAGTAATGATTTGAAAAGTTGAAGTGATGATTAACCTATTACATGAAAATCTACTGAAAAGGGTTCCAAGACAAAGTTCTGAGCAGAAAATCTATTGAAAAGGGTTCCAAGACAAAGTTCTGAGCAGAGAAGTTTGTGAGATTGAAAACAGGGAATAAAGGCAAAAGAACAACAGTATTCATATTAAGTATTTGTATTCCTAATCCTAAACCTTAAATTCTTCCAGGCACAAACTCTGGGGTTACTTATTTTGTTTATTTTTTTAATCAGTGCCCAGCCTATATAACTGTAACTCTTAATAAATGCTAATTAAAATTAACTGGTTCATATTTTTAAATTACTTTGCATGATATGTAGATAGCTCCCCCACCTTAATTGTAATAATCTTTTGTGTACATTCTTTAAAAAGATATAAGCCCAGAAATGAAGAATGACTTATACCATCAACTGATAGCAAATGGATTGAAACCTTTTGACTAAAAGCCACTACTTCTCAACCCTCTCAGTATTTGAGTTCACGTTTGGCCAAGGACTTTGTTTGTTATGAAAGAGAGCTTTTATATACTGTACTAACAAACTTTTTTCCATTTCTTTCCAAGGTCTGTCGAGTTGCTTATGAAATCATGCAAACACTGCATCCTGATGCCTCTGCAAACTTCCATTCTTTAGATGACATCTACTATTTTGGGGGCCAGAATGCCCACAACCAGATTGCTATTTATCCTCACCAACCTCGAACTGAAGAAGAAATCCCCATGGAACCTGGAGATATCATTGGGGTGGCTGGAAATCATTGGGATGGCTATTCTAAAGGTGTCAACAGAAAACTGGGAAGAACAGGCCTCTATCCCTCCTACAAAGTCCGAGAGAAAATTGAAACCGTCAAATACCCCACATATCCTGAGGCTGATAAATAAAGCTCAGGTGTAAGAGATGAACAACCAAACTCAGTTCAAACCATTTCAACCAAGCAGTAGATGAAGAAGGCCCTGACCTAACAACATTGGTTAAATGGTAGATACCATTGGCACCAAGAGCAACTAGGAACTGACAAATGCTTCATTGGTGGAATTCCTCTTTAACAAGGGCTGCAGTGCCCTCAAACCCATGCACAGTACAATAATGTACTCACATATAACATGCAAACAGATTGTTTTCTACTTTACCCCTTCTATAAATATTATGTCCCCATGAAACAAACACTGCCACATTGTGTAATTTAAGTGACACAGACATTTTATGTGAGACTTCAAACATGGTGCCTATATCTGAGAGACCTGTGTGACTTACCAAGAAGACCTGAATAGCTCCATACTGTGGAGAAGTTTATTCTTAGCCAGTGGTGGTGTTGTGACCACTGAATTCACTCCAATCAACAGATTCAGAATGAGAATGGATGTTTTTTTTTTTCCTTTATAAGGTTGTCTGGATTTTTTTTTTAAGTAATTGCATCAGTTCATCCAAGTCATCATTAATAAGTGAAGGATACATCAGAAAATTAAATATTCACTCTCCATTAGGAACTTTTGTAAAACAATGCTATGAACAAATTCTTTAGTACGCAATGTCTCTGGACATTCTCTTTGATAACAAAAAATAAATTTTAAAAAAGAATTTTGTAAAGTTTCTAGAATTTTGTATCACTGGATGGTGCGGTGATCAGCTTTATAGTAGAAAACTATGATAAAATAGAGTTTTTTTGTTTTTCAGCTTCTTTATTGTTTCTGATTCAATAATCAAATATTAACTAAAAGAGACATTGGTCCATTTTAATAATGAAAACTGATTTTAGTTGGTGCACATTACAGTGGCTAAGAACATTCTTTAGGAGCTTTCTTTTGGACATTGTTGGTTTATTTTAATTGAATGAAATACTCATAATCTATGCTCCCAGGGGAAATATTACCTCCATTTCTATAACTAACCATTTCAGGTTTGTTTGGTAATCTTTCTTAGTGTGACTTTTGTCAGTTTCTGTGAATTGGGTCCTGTTTTTTTTTATCCAGAAACCAAATTATGCCCTTTTCTATAATGTCCTGCTTGTAGAAATATAAGGAGTCTTTGGATGGGAAGATGACTTTTTTCTGAAATGTGTATCTCATAGTATGCAGAGTTAATTTGGTGAACAAAGGAGAAAGGGACTAGCATTAGACCCAAAATTTTCTCTTACAAATTATCCTTTTAGTAATATTATGTTGGAATCACTTAAGAAGAACTTTTCTACTAATAAAAACACTCCCTATTTGTATGTAGCCTGCCTTCTACAGATCCTTGCAGGAGTGTTGCATAGCATATGTCCTACCTTCTAAAAGAAAAATGTGGTCCATGTAGTAACCATTTTCAGGCCTGGTGTTAAGTATCAGGGATTTCAGACAGAAAAGCTCAGTTAGCTCTGACTTTTACAACCTTACTAAGTGAAAACACCTTCCTACCAAATGTCCCTAAATTCTTTTCACCTCTTGAGTCAAGTCTTCCAAAATACAAAAAATAACTACTTATAGTGTCAGTGAGCAGTTTTCCATTTAGTTTTGGTAAAATAAAAATCACTTGAAACAAAATCTCTGAGCAGAGGTAATTTCAAATATTATTCTCCAATTTCCATCTCACATGAAATCAGAACATCAGTAATTATGGGTCTGATTTATTCCTTTGTACAAAGGTAAATTGAACTCTTTTATTCTAATTTGATCTAGTTCCTCAGGTAAAGAACAGAAATATGAAGGAAATACATGAAAGAGTAGGTCTCACATGGAGGTAAAGACTGGTTTTAGATATCTTTCAGTAGAATTTATTTCCTCATTCCCCAACCGAAAGTCTTATTTATTTCTCAGGCTGGCCTTGAAATTGTGGTCCTCCTGCCTCAGTATCCCACATAGCTAGTTTTATACACATGAGCCACTATACTTGGCTAGAAAGAATTTCCATTTAATTCTATTTCTTTGCTGAGATTTCCTCTTTTAATTCACTGCAAGCTTGCTTTCCTTTATTGAACATAGTGATAATTACTTTAAAATCTTTTTCTGATATAGTCAACATCTGAATAATCTCAGAATTAGTTCCATTGTTTATTTATTCTCTATAGAATGGATCTGTTTTTGACTGTTGTTTTCTTTGTGTCCTTCATATGTTGAGTAATTTTAAATTGAGCCCTGAAAATTGTAAATGTTGGTACTATGGATTCTGTTATATTCTTCTGAAGAATGCTGATTTTCTTTTTTATGTTAGCAGGCATTAACTTTTTTGGACTCAACTTGTAAACTGTGTCTTGAGCAGCAATTCAAATATCAATTCAGTTCTTTTATCTGTAACTGGAATCTGTCCTACACATAACTCAGAAGTCCACCAGAGATTTGAGTGGAATATATGCACAGAGTTTAGGGCACTCCTTCTTTCTCTTTGGTTCCCTTTCTTCTGAGGTTTCCTCTCAACATTTTGCAGCAGCTGTACTTGCTCTGTTTCAATGGAAGACACCATAGAAAGAATGCAGTTTTCTCTCAGACCTAAAAGTATAAAAATGGGACACTCACCTTGTGCCATTCTTTCTTTCCATATTTCAGCCTCTCTCCAGAATTTGCCTGATTTTTTGTTCCATCTTCAGTATCTTCAAGTAGTTTTTCATATTGTTAAAAGTTTATAGTTGTTATCCATTAGAAGATTGGCTCAGTAGGCACTTACTTCACCGTACAGGAAGTGAATCTCTGAGGAAGAGACTTAAAATGAAAAAAGAAAAAGGAGAGGGCAGGTTTAGTCCCGTGACAGCCTCTGTTTAGTAGCCTCCAGCAGGCAAAAGGTATGAAGGGCTAAGTACTACTGCTGACCACTTAACCTGCAAATCAAGTGTTGGTAATTTCTTCTATACACACTGCCATTTTGGGAAGGCTGACATTTCTTTCCCACCATTATATTTTCTCCATGAGGACCTGGTACTTAAGAAGCCTACATTAGGGATAAATTAGAAGGATTTGGATCTTTGTTATATAACCCATTTTTGGAAAAGACTTACGAAGAACTACATTATTAGCCCAGGCTCATTGAATGTAGGTAACAGCATCCTATAGATTTTTCTAACTACAAAGCAGTTAGAAAAAGTCTTACTAAGGCTTTCTTGGTCCTTCCACTGGAGTCTGGTATAGTGCAGACCTGAGTACTGAACCAGCTAAGTCCAAGCCTGTTTTGAAAAGGCTCTCAGCCCCACTCCAGGATTTTATTGTGTTCTGAATGAATAAAACTATTTGTTTCCTTCTTTGGGCTTTAGTTTTTCCTGCTATTGCCAAGCTTATTGTATATTCCCTCTTACTAGAGTTGAGGTAATTATTAGCCCCAGCTTGTGAGGGAGTTGAAGTTTAGAGAAAAAGCATGTATAAAAAATGACCTCCCAGAATAATTATTATCATCACTTAATTCTGAGAGAATATAATTACTGTATATTCAGTGGGGGGAGGGGGAAGGGGATACTGGGGTAAGTGGTGCATCTTAAGGAGTCTCTGCCTCATTGAAAGTAAATCTATCTTACTTAATGTACATAGCCATTGCCATTTCATTTGTGGTCCCAGAGACTACAGTAGGGTCACTAGGACTATACATAGTAGTAGATGTGTGGCTTGGACATTGATGAAATTGGGAACTTGGCTATAACACCTTAATTTATGCCAGATACAGACTAAGGAATTTTTTAAGTGCATTGCCCTGAGGGGAACATAAAGGACAACTGACTTCTATCCTTACTGTTTCATGATAGCAGTCTCCCTCATGGAGGCAGAAGAGTTGATCCAGGACCCTTGGCAGGGAATTGGCAGGCCTTGGAAACTTCCCTGGCTTCAGCTGTCATTGATATTACACATATTTGAGCACTAGTCCTTTGTGGGTTCAATTTTTTCTTCTTTATTCAGGTCAGAGTCTCTGGCTCAAGTACCTGCTGAGTCATTCAGCCTTGTCACCTCCAGTCCAGTTCAGTTGCCACTTGCTTTCTCCTCTTTTTATTCTTATGACTACCTTGATTTTGTGTTCCTCCTACCTTTACAAGAATAATCTCATATACTTCAACCCCCTTGTAGTTCCTATCCTCATTCCTAACTGGCATTTCTATGATATTAAAGGGAACCAGACATCCCCTTAGAGAGTTTTAGGTAAGATATTTGTAGACCTGAGTCATAATGAACCTAGGCACTGTGTAGTCATGTCCTCTTAAAATATTTCCAAGGTTTTTAGATATTAATGTTACTACACTTGCAGGGAGCATGGCTAGGCCATCTTTTATATCAAATTGTGTCAATCTGGACAGACCCTGTGTTTTTTAAAAAGCAGTTTATTAACCATGACCATTCAGTGTTTTGGGAAGAGAGCCAGGAGAATTTGGAGCTCTGCCTGACTTCCTGCCATCAGTAACTGTTCTCTCTAACCTCTTCTCCCACATCAGTGTCCTGCGGAGGCTGTTGTTCCCTTACTGCCATTATGGGCAGAGAAAAGGCCATAAGCAAAAGAAAAACACAGCATGTTTGTCCATAGCTCAGCTGTGTGAGAGCATCTGTGGAGGCTGGGAATGTGCAGCAATTTGTGCAGAGGGCACAGAAACTTCAGACTGTGGGTGTGGTAAGGAGCCTGAGGAATGGTGGCACTTTGAGTTCATGGCTAATGTTATGTACTCCGGAGTAGATCACAACTGCTAGGAATTCCTGGCCCAGCAAACAAACAGAGAGTAGTGTGTGTAACTGCAGAAGACCCAGCTCTCAGTTCTGTTTCCCTCATTATAGTGGTGACACATGGGTAATGTCCCTGAATCTCAGTAGTACTCACTGAAGGTGATTGAACTGGGAACCAGTCTTCTGATTTTGAATGTGCCATTAAATGTGGACAGGCCAAACTGTTTTTCAGAACTTCACTTTTTTTAACCTATGAAATGAATTTTTTTTTAATTGGTTGGTTTATTTAGGGGTTTGCAAGTTTGATCGTCTGATAGAGCTCCACATAACTAATAGAGGTAGCTGCTATTCATCCTCAACTGATTGTTGTTCTAAAGGTAACATGTGGCCAGATCTTTATTTTTCCAAACAAGCAAAATCTGTTCTTTATGTACAGTCTTTAGAAACTATAGCAAATCATTCAAAAAAATGTATAAAATATATAGATCAGTAAAGGGCCCAAATAATTGTGGCTACTTTGGGTCCATGGTGCATTAGTTTATAATCTGGACTAGAATGAGAAGGTTATTTTCTAATTTCAAGATGATTGTTTCTCTAGGAAGGATTGGTGAGGTGGGTAACAGGCTAATAGTTGCACCATACTTCCAAGTTCAGTGTTGGAAGTATACAGTGTTGAAGTTCTGTTGCTGCACATGCCCCAATTTTGGGGGCATATCTGCTTGGCTGGCTTATCTTCTCAGCTAAGAGCTGAGAAGCAACTTAATATGCTAAAAGACAGCTCAAACCATGTGCCCCTCAGACTCGGCCTCATAACAGGGTAGATAACTTCCAAGTTCTTTTTCAGCCTAATTAACAAGCTGTTTAAACCTACCTGTTTATATTTGTAAATTCTTTTGTTTGCTTTCTTTCCCACATTTTTTTTCTGGTAAATCTTTCACAAAAACCACAACTTTGTTTTAACTAAAGTAAGAGAAGAAAGATGTGTAGACAGAAAAGAAAAAAATTGAAGGCCAAGAGCAGGGATAACACCCCACCCCCACCCCGCCCCGAGACTATATCTGACCTCCCTCCCCAGTCCAAGAAATCAGAAGAATGGATATCAATAATGAGTCCCTTCTGGTCTGTTTCATTTTTTAAGTAAGAGCTACAAACAATGAAATTACTAACAACCTCACAATTGATTGGAATGTGCTGGTTGGTCACAAAGGCCAAGGAGGAGAACACAAGGTTAAAGAACAAGGAGTTCAAAATCAAATTGCTCTAATTTCAAGTTTTGGCTTCATGCTATTGAGTATCAACAGGTTAAATCTAACTGAAGTTATTGTCTTTCAGGAATCTCTTGATGATTCAAATTAACCAGAGTTCCTTAAGCCAGTAATTAGCAAGCTATGCCTACTCCCTGGGTGATTTTGTTTGTTTGTTTGTTTGTTGATACTGGGAATTTAATCCAGGAACACTTTACCACTGAGCTACATTCCCAGCCCTTTTTATTTGTTATTTTGAGAAAAGGTCTCACTAAATTGCTGAAGCTGGCCTCAAATTTGTGATCCTCCTGTCTCAGCTTCCTGTGTTGCTGGGATTACTGGAATGTGCCACCTCACTCAGCTACTACCTGGTTTTTTAATAAAGTTTTATTGTAACAGAGCCATGCCCATTCACTTACATATCATATATGCCTCCCTTCTGGCTACAATAGCACAGTTAAATCCACAATGTCTAGAATGCCAGTTGCACTATCTCATGAAATCATATGTAAGAGCTCCACTATTGTGGTGTGATCTAGTGAAAAGAACATTATATTTGGAATCAGTAAACCTGAGCCCTGCTTCCAGCTCTGAAATGGACATTCTGATACCTTGGCAAGCCACATAGTCTTTCTAGGCCTTTGTCTTCTCACCTTTGAAATAGAGGCAGCTTTTAGGTCTTTTGAGAAACAAGACATTCGATTGCTTTATAAAGACCAGCACCTCTGCAAAATCAAGTTTCACTCATGTTTTGAATAATTTTTGTAATTCTAGAACTACAGTATGTTCTGATGAAAACGAAATCCATTTAGGAGCAATTAGAAAGATGTGCACTGGCGAACTTCACTGGAAAGGCACAATCCAACCTAACAAGTTTTGCACATTTGAACTAACCAGAGCACTGATAATAAAGGCTCACAGCTACTGATCTACTATTTGCCACACTTAACACGCACTATCTCACATGCATGTTCTAGCCTCCAAGCAATCTTGCCCTTTTGAAGAGTCAAACCATGTGACTCACACCCTTTATCCTTAAGGTATTTAATTATTTGAGGTTTGATCATAAAGGCTAACTCTAAGAGTGAACTTCTCCAACAATTTTGGAACTAGTATTCTTTCAACTCACCTACTGCCCACACACATAACAGGAAATAGATGAGCAGGTTGACAAGTAAAGATTCTGTGGGTTGACAGGTAGCAGATACCCCTGGGCTTGGTAGACATCTGCTTGGGCTCACTCCTCCTCTGGGCCTCTGTTTGCCTGCATTCATTGGAAGGTGAGTCCAGGCATTGCATTCATTGGAAGTGAATCTACTCTGAGCTCAGCCTGCTATATACTACATAAAGATGCCAGATTATAATAAGTGCTACTTAAGCTATCACCAGCCCCAAAATGCAGGAGGAACCCTGGGTGTGGTTTCATTTGCCTTAAATAAGATATACCTCCCCTCCAGAAGCAACTTCCCCATGTGTACTTCAGAGAACACACTGTTTAAGCAGGTGAATATTCTAATATTGATGTTGAAGTAGAAAATATATATGTACTTAAGGCACATTGTCCTAATATGCTTTAGTTTTACTTAATGATGACTTGTCTAATTTGCAAGCACACTTACATTTGAATTTCACACTCCAGGATTCTTCAGGATGAAAGGAGAGAAAGGGGAGATAGAAGATGCAGACATTATTTTATTTCTGTCTTTGTCTGGCTTGCTTTGATGTCGGTGATACATGACAGGACATCTGGGGCAAGGTTAGTGACCCATTAAGGTATCCTGAGCTCTGAAGAGAGAGCTTGGAGCCAGCAGAGCTGTCAACACTTAGTTTCTTTTTTTATTAAGATTCTGCCTCTTAAGCCCTGGAGGCCACTTATCCTTCCCACTCCCAAGAAAAGACAGAGTTAAAGCCTGAGGTCATTGCTTAGTGGAAGCCCCAGGAGTTGACTGAGCCTGAAAGGGCCTCTCTTCTCCTGTCTCCTCTCAGCAGCCACTCCATTATCAGGCTTCTCTCCTGACAGGTGAGCTCCAGCTCCTGAATACCCACAGCTCCTAAGCTAGAGTGACTCTCACAGGAGCAGCTGCTCAAGGAAGAGTGAAGATGCTAAAGGAAACCCACTGGCAAGACAGGGAGTTCAGGGAAAGGAGGTTATTGTAGTCACCTCAGCTGTTTGGAGTGTGTGTGTGTGTGTGTGTGTGTGTGTGTGTGTGTGTGTGTAGATCCCATACTGGAAGTCAGGATACTAGCCTCCCAAAGAGTTGTTTTCCCTTGGCAGGGAGGGTATTTTTCCATATTTTATTAGTGCATTATAATTACACATAACAGTGAAGTTCATTGTTACATATTTGTATGTGCACATGATATAACAATATAATTTGGTCAATATCATTTCCCAATATTTTCTCTTCCCCTCTGCTCTTCCCCTGTCCTGGTCCCTTTCCTCTAATCTTACTGGTCTCCATTCAATTTTCATGAGAACACCCCCACACACACACACATCTTTGTTGTCCTTTTCCTCTCTTGCTTCTACAGATGAGAGAAAAGAGTTCTATTTTCTAATTGTGATTAGTCTGTCTTAATAAGCTTACTCTATAAACTCCTCCTCACTAGCTGCAGTTTTTAAAGACAAAAAATTTTATCATATTCTATTCCTAGTGCAAGCACACATAGTGACTGGCACTTCATGAGTTCTTGAAAACGCACTATGCTAAAATAATTACAGATTTAATGAGGGTCCCAAGATGAGGATGAGGTGAAGAGTCTGAGCTGGGTCCAGGGCATCTCTGGTAGGCATGGTTGTGGAACTGTGGGAATTCAGGGCATGCAGAGGAGCAGAATATGCAGAGCATTTATATTCCTGGGACTGTGCTGGTTCTTTTACAACACCTAACTCTCCTAGAAGTTCAGTGGAGTTAATTCTTATTAGTCCTTTCCCCACCACACAAGGAAACTGGATTTAAACAACTTCTATAAGATTATATAACTAATATGTCTGAGGCAGGATTCTATCCTGGGTCTGACACCTAAGCTTGTGTTCTTTCCACTGTCCTTGCTACTCCTAGTGAAACAAGTCAAATCTACACAAATACCACCTCCCTGTTCCACTCCACTTCTCCTCTCTACCCTGCCCTTATCTTTCTTCTTCCATATTAGCCTCTCTAATATTATTTTTCTTCCTGAGTTGGCTTATTTATCACTTGGCCATGTCTTCTTATTAATGTAACCAGAACTTAAACATTATGTATCCCCATTGCCTCGTTTGCCAGCACGGTGCTGAGCACTTATGAGCATGGCAATTAGACTGAGCTCAAAGGGGCCATAACATCTGCGTCTTCAGCTGCTTTCATAGGGAAATGGGGTGGAGAGGAAAGGATGTGAGATGGAGCAGTGTAGCAGAGGTGTGGCATGTGCATGATGGAGAAGAGATCCAGGTGGGGGGTGCAGGATGAAGCTGCCACCAAGTACTTTTCTCTTGGTACTCAGCCTTGACTCAAAATGACATGCTTGAAACCCAGGGCTCTGAGCCTCCAGGAAGACACCGAGTACATTTCTGCTAAACAGACTCTTCTATCTTGTTCATGTGGCTGATTTCAATAGCAGCAGCAGCACCCACTCACTTATTGAATGCCTACTGTGTGCTTTTCACATTTAATCTCACTTAATACACATAATAATTCTATGAGCTAAGTGTTAATGTGTTTTATGGGAAAGGAAACTGAAACTCATAGAATGTAAATAGCTGCTCAAATTCACACAACTAGCATGTGACAGAATAAGGAGAAAGGGCAGGAAAATCTGAAAATGAAGTAAGAGGGGTTTGGGTGATGAGAAATTGCCATCAGGATAAGCCGCTCAAAAGTATCTGTCTGTTTGAGCACCTGCCCAAGAGAGTTGGAAGAGTAAGGGAGCAACTGAATGAGCCCCTGCCAAATCACCGTGTGGCCTAACTGGAAAGGAAGATCTCTAGGTCCCAAAGGTTAATGCTTGGATCCCTTCCTAGCTTCCCAAAGATGCTTCAAAACTGGCAGAGGTTGTCCTGGGACTAGGGTCTTTATCCTCAGGAAAAAGACCTTGAGCATAATCTCCCTTGTGTCTCAGTTTCCCCATCTGTACAGTGGAAAAAGTTATTATACCTATTTGATTGGGTTTTTGTTTGTTTGTTTGTTTCTGAGATGGAATTTCACTAAATTGCTGAAGATTTCCTCAAACTTACAATCCTTCGGCTTCAGCCTCCTGAGTCACTGAGATTACAGGCATGTGTCACCATACCTGGCTGCATACATGATTACTTAAATCTATTTTTTCTGGCTTTCTTGAGGTATAATTAACAGATAAAATCATATACATTTAAGGTATACAATGTGATGCTTTGATATACATATATGTTATAAAATGATTATGGTGATCAAGCTAATTAAGAGATCCATTACTTAACATAGGCTATTTTTTCTTTCCATTTACCTCCCTTTTTATGTGTGTGTGGCAAGAGCATTCAAGATCTCCTCTTAAAAAATTTCAAGTGTACAGTACATTATTATTAACTATGGTCACCATGCTGTATATCACATCACCCAAGCTCATCTGTCTTACAGTTCTTCCATCAAAATCCCATTTTCTTACCCCTCAGTGCCAACATCCACCTACTCTATGTTTCTAGTTTGACTTATTTATTCCACATATAAGTGAGATCATACAGTATTTGTCTTTCTTTGTCTGGCTTATTTCATTTAGCATAATGTCCTCTAGGTTAATCTGTGTTGTCACAGTGGCAGGATTCCATATCATGGCTATCCTGAATAATGCTGCAACGAGTTTCTGCACAGCAAAGGAAATATCAACAACATGAAATGGTAACCTATCAAATGGGGGGAAGAATACTTGCAAACCATGGGTCTGACAGAGGGTTAATATCCAAATATACTATAAAAAAAACTTACATAACAGCAAAAAAAAAGAATAACCCAATTTAAAAATGAGCAAAGAACATTTTTCCAAAGAAGACATATAAATGACCAAGAGAGGTATGAAAAGGGGCTCAACACCACTAATCATCAGGGAAATATAAAGTAAAGCATAATGAGACACCTGTTATGGTGGATGTCATTAAATAATCAAACAACAGCAAGTGTTGAGGAGGATGTAGAGAAAAGGGAACACTTGTATATTGTTGGTGGGATTGTAAATTGGTACAGCAATTATGGAAACTGAAGATGGCTCAAAAATTAAAAGTAGAACTGCTGTGTGACTCAGCAACCCAGCTTCTGGTATACATCCAAAGTAAATGCAATCTGTAACTCAAATATCTGCACTTCCATTTTTGCTGAAGAATTATTTACAATAGCATGCATAATTATGAAATAATTGCATCAGCAACATTTTATATTCTACAAAACAGAAGTATGTGGCCCTTCGTGACCATAGCAAGGATTCACTGGTTAAATGTTAAGGGAATTAATGTGCTTAACACTGTTTATCCTTCAGGATATAACAGGGCTCAGAATTCCCATTTCCAAGATGAAAGAACATACAGTCTTGAATTTAGCTGTTAAAAACAACTGTGGAAAGCAGTAATTTATTTCATTGATTAACTCTTTAAACTTTTATTATGTGGACCTATATATTAGCATCTAGATTAAGTAAATAGATAAATATATCACACCTTATTTCAAGGGGATCCCAGTCTTATAGGGATAGATCAGATTGTTATAATTCATTTTTATATTTAAGGGATATACTGGAGGAATATGTGATGTGTACAACTTATTCTGGAAGCATCATGGAAAGTACAGTAAATTCACAGAGGTATAGAGACTTCCAAAGAGAGGAGGAATCTGGACAGATGAAGCTTATTTTCCACATACTTATAGATGAGACAGAGGTTAATTGGAGCTTACCAGTGACTTGTCTTGCTGATTGTTCTGGCTGACTTTTACATATCTCTGATCCCTGGCACTGTCCAGATACTTGACTGTCATGTTCATAGCCCAGTTGTGCCAGGGCAGTGGGATAGGTTGTTAAAAGGCCAAAGAAAGTGCCTAGAGACAGCATGCAAGTCATATGATTTATCCGCATAAACTTACAGATCAGTTACTATTCCCAGAAGAATTCAGTATCAGTGGGCTGACAGACTCCCCATCCTTCAAGGTGCTTCACCAAGCAGCACTTTGCTTCCCTCATGGTATTTTGACCAGTGTTGGCCAGCTGGAGATGAATGACATGTATCCACAATGGATACATGTCATTCTTCATTCTATCAGTTCCACACCCATCCCTACCCAAAAAGGGGTTTTATATGTTAGGTTGCAGAAGCAGCGACACCATCAGTGTTAGCCTGCTTATAAGTAGCTTGTATAATCAGCATCCAAGGAGCAACTATCCTGGTATACATGCAAGAAAGTAATTGTTTACAAAAAACACTTACTTGCCCAGGTTCCCAGCATGCATAAGAGAAAGCCTGTGTCCTTCAAGACAATATGTATCTGAACATTCTGACCCAGGCTTGCTCTCACTGTTCCCTTAACCTGGCTAGATTTTTGGAAACAAAACAGGCATTGAGGGACATGATGTTTCACTGTCCCCCTTTTCTTTAAGGATGATGCACTGACACATGGTAGCTGCTGTTTTAATGTTGTTTAAACAATCATCTCATTATTACCTAAGAAATGACCCAATGCTGTACCTCATAGAGGCACACTGGCTTTATAAGTTTTTGTTGTTGTTTGTTTGTTTTTAGTGGGGGACCAATGTTGGTCAAGCTGGGGAGTGAAGTCGGGAAAGTCACGGTTAGAGGTTCCAAAATTAAAACACTCTGGGATTTCAAAGAGGCCACTTTCAGGCCCCACTCTAGTTCTGCCAACGCTGGTGACTTGCAGAAGCTTACCCAGAAACCAGTGCAGACCTCAGTCTGCTTTCTGCCTATCCATCTGCTCCCCAATGCCACCAGAGAAAAAACAACTTCTGCCTTAAATCTCACATAAGCACTTCTCATTGGCAGGATATATCCAGAATTGTAGAGGAAGACAGAGCCTCAGAAACGTGGTTGAAAACTTCTCTCCTGCCAGACAGAGGAGATCTGGGGACAGGTGTAGGGATGCTTCTGCTGAACTGATGATAACACAGACCATGTGGCTGCCCCAGGTTATTTCTGAAGAGGGAGACACTCTAGGAGCAGCGAGCTCTACTTTCCCCACCTCTAGGAAGCTGTCATCTTCAGTCCAGCATCCTCCTGTTAGAGCAGTGCAACACTGATAATGTTCCCACCCAACCAAATCATGAAAGCCCACTGTTTAGTTGGACCCATCCAGTGTGGGGTGGAGGAAAGAACTCCAGTCCTGGAGGCAAACATACTGAGTGTTAGTCTCAGCTGTACCATTTATGAGCCATGTGAACATAAGCACTTATTTACTTCTGAAAAAAAATGGGGATTATAAAATAAAGCTATAAATAAAAATTCATATAAAATAATGTTCATGACAGTATTATAATAGACAATTTCAACTGAAAGACTTTATACCAAAGGTGTAGCTATCTCTGTAGGTAATTAGGATTACAAGTAAGACTTTTTGTTTTGTTTTGTTTTGTATGCACATATGTGAGTTTCTCAGATTTTCTGCACTATGTGTTACTTTTTAAGTTTTAAAAAATTATTTTAAAAAGTACCTGGTAGGATTATTGAGAAAAATAACTGATACACTTTCAATAAATGATCGTTTCCTTCCACATCCACATAAAAACGATCTCGTTTCATTTTATATTTTGAGTAAAACAATAATCATGTTCAACATTTTTAAAATATGAAAGTGAAAATTCTTCCTCCTACCTCAGACTTTGATTTTTGTTTTCCATATACAACTAACATGATCAGTTTCTTACATATCTGTTAGAGAAAATGTGTGATTCTATAATACCATGCATCCTTTCATTCCTTTTTAACACATGTGATAGTATATTATACTACCTTTTATGCCCCTTTGTGTTTTTTTAAAATATTCTTTTTTGGTGATCTTTCCATATCATTATTCTATAATTTGGATTTTAAGTGTCTTCCAAAGACCCGTGTAATAAAGACTACTATGTAGGTCATCCCTAACCTGTGGTGCTATTGGGGATGTATGTGGAATCTTTAAGAGATGAGCCTAGTGGGAAGTCCTTTGGTCAATGGGAGTGTGTCTTCAAAAGAGATAGTGGGACCCCAGTCCTATCCTTTTTCTCTCTTTCACTCTCTGATCATGAAATAAACAGCTTTATTTCACCATACTCTCCTACCATGATATGCTGCCTTCCATAGGTCTAAGAGTATCAAGTTCAACCTATCATAAACAGTAACTTCTGAAACTGTGAGCCAAAACAAACTTTTGTTTCATAAGTTGATTCTTTCTTTTGGTGGTGGTACTGGGGATTGAACCGAGGGACTTGTGCATGCTAGGCAAGCACTCTACCAAGTGAGCCATGTACTCAGCCCCTATAAGTTGATTCTTTCAGGTATTTATTATAGTGATATGAAACTAACACAAGAATATCCCGATAAAATATTTTAATTTATAGCATAGCAATACTTACTTAGCCAATCTCCTATTGGTGGACATTTAAGTCCAGTGAGAGTAAAAGTGGCTATAGAAACAAGGGTGAACTGCCTGTCCTTGGTCTCCTGGACTTAGAATCGTCACCTTCCTCATAGGCTACAGTCACATCTAGCCTTCAGCTTATAAGACTGAGGGCCTTCAGCAGAACTGGGATCATATCTGTACTGGTTACAGTCTTTTTACCTATTTCTTTCTTTCATTTTCTCTTCTTTTTTTCTTCTTTTCTTTCCTTTATTTATTCTTTTTTTTTCTTGGCAGTAACCAAGGCTGGCTTGGTTCTGAAGATACTCTTGTCTAGGCCTTAAGAGCCAGGAGCCATGAGTTTGATAATCTGCTTTTCTATGAGTCTCTCTGTGTAGCTGTGTTGAGTCTCTTCTGCCACCCCTAGTCTTTTGTCTGGAGAAGTCTATGCCCCATGAATCCCAGAGCTCTTTCTCCTTTATATTTCCAACATCCTTTTTTTTTTTTTTTTTTTTTTTTATTGGTTGTTCAAAACATTACAGAGCTCAAGACATATCATCTTTCATACATTCGACTCAATTGGGTTTTGAACTCCCCAAATACATAATACAGACTCACTTCTGTTACATACTCACATTTTTACATAATGGCATATTAGTGACTGTTGTATTCTGCTACCTTTCCTATCCCCTACTATCCCCCCTCCCCTCCCCTCCCCTCCCAACATCCCTCTCTACCTCCTCTGCTGTTGTTCAATTCTCTCCCCTTTTTTCCCCCCTCCCCCTTGCCCCTCATAACCTCTTATTATTTTGTGTATCACTGAAGGTCTCCTACCATTTCCATATGTTTTCCCTTCTCTCTTCCTTTCTCTCCCCCCATTCGTCTTAGTTTACTGTTAGTCTTTTCCTCATGCTCTTCCTTCCTGTTCTATTCTTAGTGGCTCTCTTTATATCAAAGAAGACATTTGACATTTGTTTTTTAGGGCTTGGCTAGCTTCACTTAGCATAATCTGCTCTAATGCCATCCATTTCCCTGCAAATTCTATGATTTTGTCGTTTCTTAGTGCTGCATAATACTCCATTGTGTATAGCTGCCACAATTTTTTTATCCACTCATCTATTGAAGGGCATCTAGGTTGGTCCAACATCCTTTTTATCTCTTGGACAACCTGGATACATAAAGACTACAGTATTGTCACCTAACATCACAGCTAGGTGATAAATGGCGTGTAGTGACAATGACAATGAGGAACCAAGTCAGGGTTGTGATGGTGACACAGGTGAGGTGGTGTGCCTTGTCCTGGTGGATGAGTAGGAATGTGGATTCGAGACTTAGATGAGCAGAGAGGAGCTAACTGCAAGTTTTCTGGACAGAGAATCATTTTGGGGATAGTTAAGTTAGGACCTAAGCCAATAAGTAGAGCCCTATCCTTACATGAAACCTGTAAGTAGACACTCCTTTTTGTCATGATTAATTTCTTAATAAAACAGAATCAAATTGATTACCTGTTACATGCATTCTATTGGATAGTTTGCAATCTGTATTTTTATGTATACATTGAAATTTTGCCTTTCTTGCTAGAGTCTCTACCTTATGCAGACCCTTTTATTGCTATTGCCACAAACTTTTGTGGTCTTTCAGGGCCTGTAATATTTTCTTTTCTTTCTTTCTTTTTACTTTGCAGGCTCATTCTATAAACTGGAGGGCAAGTAATTGAAAGTCACAGTTTAAATCAGAGTAGTCACAGAAATAGACAGCTGATTGAGATGGCACATAGAATGTGCTTAATCAATGCTGCCTAAGCTGAACTGATCAGGGCCAATGAAAGCCCTCTGTGGAACCACAAGGTGTGCTATGTGCCCTTATTCACTGGAGATAATGGTCATGGGAACAATTATCAGCCTAATTTCTTTTTATACCAATGTAGATTTGATGCCTGGTAATATATGTATTGTACCTTTAATGGCCTTTTAATGATGAAAAGGATCAAAAGCATTTTATATCTGAACCTGCACCATTAGTCTCCATTCCAGAAATTCACTGTAATTACTGCAGCTGCTTCTCTGATCCCTGCAAGAGCAACGAGTTCCTGTGAATGTATCTGCACAGTTAATCACAATCAGCACAGAGCCAAGTCTGACACAGGTTCTGGGGGGTGGTTGCTGAAGGTAGAGAAAGGCAGAGTGGATGGTAGAGGGGGTGACAGTGGGAAGGAGTGAAAGGCTGAGTCATTCAAGGTCTGAGGTGTCAAGATCTCTATGCCCTGGTCCTCTTCTCTTTCCTCATAGAGAGTCCCAGACTTCCAGAAGGAAATATGAGTTCAGTAATACTGATATAATGGGAAAGGTTGAGGATTCATGATAATTCTGCTTTCTATCCATTACATAATGAATGTTCTTCAGGGGTAGAGAGGATGAGGGACATGTGACATGGGGTGCCCAGCAAGGGCAAGTAAGTGAATCTGGATATGCAGATTTTTGTGGGAGGGAGCGCACAGGAAAAATCCAAGGGAGATTGATGTTTCCAGGGAGGGGAGGTACTCAGATGGAATGGTTAGTGTACTGTTTATTCTTTGAGTCCCTATTCCTAATGTCTTTTGTCTGCCTCCTCTGTGCCCTTAGAGGCTAACTTATGGACTGTATCACCCAGGCTGTCTTGCCCTGTGGCTTCCAGTTGGCTTATCCAAGGTAGAAAGAGAGAGGTACGGGAGTTTCTTTTTCCACTCCCCTCCTGCTTACATGCTGCAGTTCTAGCAGAGGATGCATCCCTCTGCAGTAATAGGACTTATCCAGAGGCACTTCTTCCATGGCTCTAGCTCTTATTGAGCTCTGAAAACATGGTTTCCTCTCCTTGTCACAGGACTCAGGGTGGTACAGACTTGTCCTGTTCTTGTTAGTCCCTAGACACCTCAACATCCTTTATAGGTTCCAACCTTAATCCCATTTATGCCTTCATTAAATTAAAAATCTCAGGGCTGGGGTTTTGGCTCAGCAGTAAAGTGCTCACCTAGTACCACATATAAATAAATAAAATAAAGGTGTTGTGTTCAACTACAACT